AAATATTTCATCCCAGGAATCGCCCGAACATAGCATAACTGTATCATCAGCATAACATACTAGCTGACTTTTTAAAGGGAGTAAGTGAATACCGTTTAGTTGTATGTTAAAAAGTATGGGAGAAACAACTGTTCCTTGTGGAACTCCACATTTTACAAGGCACAGTGAACTAATAGATTCATTTAAATATCTCTTTAGAACATTTAAATTTATTGCTCTTATAATACATTTTTTAAATTAACTAAAACATGTCCGGAGGTGATAAATGCATGTACTTTAACTGCTATAAAACGCGAAAGACAAGCAATAATGTTTTTCATGTTTTTCCATCAAATCCAGAAATTTTAAGAACATGGATAGTGAATTCTGGTAAATATTTTTTTAAAGAGTAAACAAAATTAATAATGTATAGTATGAAACTTTATATTTTTCCTAAATTTATTTTAGGGAATATGTGTTTGGAAGCATTAGAACCGAAAAAATTAAAAAAACGATATATTTGTTCAGATCATTTTAACACGTTTACTGCCCAAGACTTTTTTGACAATCTTAGGACAAACCCAAACCTAATATGATTCATTTCTAGTTCTAAGTACTTATACTTTTATAGTTTTGACCTTGAAAATTCTTTTTTCCATTTCTTCCTGTTTTTTAAGGCTTGTCACATATTTGTGACATGGGTTTATATGAACAATTATTATTACACAAAACCCAATGTCACACATAGTTGACATTGGATATTTTATTCTTTTCATGTTCAAAAGTGTTAATATACCAAGTTTATATTTATTTATATTAATTGGAATAATAAAAAAAGATACATCAGAATTAGAATAAATAAACAAATTGTTATAGAATTTAAAAAATAATAATAAAGTCAACATATTATAAAAATTTAAAATCAACCCGTTATATAAAACAAATACAATTCAAATAAAAACAAAATTAAAAATCAATCCGTTCGCTACCCATATAAAAAATAGGTACAAAATTATGACATAAAAAACATTATTCGACGTATAAATCGACTATTTTTAAAATTAAAACTAACAACTCTGAGATTAACAAATTAAGAATGGAAAATTTTAAAACACGGATCTGGGCACAGTCCTATTGTTTTCCCCTTATTGTCAATGCATGTGTCACATACGAATTGTGTATTTTTTCGAATCTTCTTTGCGTGACAAACTCTACATCTTTTTCTGATCTCAACTTTTTTAACTACGTGTATATTAGTACTCGTAATAGGAGTTGAAGGACCTGGGGTGTGTGCAGTATGTCCAATTAATTCGCTGGCAACCTTCCTTCTAAATTCCAAATGGGACATTTTTTTAACATTACTGTTATATAAATGGTTCCCGTTCCATAGACAAATATCCAATATATGAAAAAAAACTTTAACATACCAGCGCATACTTTTTCTTGGTATTGGATAATAGCTGA